GGGCTGTGTTCAGATGGTTTCTGAGTATCTCCAAGGAGGGGAAGTCCATAACCTTTGTGGGCAATCTGTGCCAGTTACCATCACAGTAAAAGTTTCTTGATGTTCAGACAAGACTTCCGCTGTTACAGTTTGAGCCCATTGCCTCTGATCCTGAGTATCTCTGAGAACAGTCTGCCTTCATTTAGCTTGGATCTTCCCATCAGGTATTTATACACATTAACAAGATCCCCTTGAGTCTGCTGTTCTTTCTCCAGGCTGAAAAGTTTCTCTGCTTTTCCCTTCATGAAGGATGCTCCAGGCCTTTAATAATCTTTGTGGCCCTGAGTGGACTCATTGCAATAAGTACATGTGGTTCACACACTAGGTAGCGGAGCTCCTTGTAAAGTCATGCTGGCTGTTCCTGTCTTGTCTCAAAACAGTTTCCAGATAGATTTGGTCCATCACCTTCCTTGGGAGTGAGCTGAGCTGAGGCTGACCACTTCAGGTTGCCAGATGCTCTTTCTCACGGGAGCAAGTGACACTTGCTCTCTTCCAGCCCTTAGGGGCTCACCCAGCAGCTTTGACTTTTCTGAGATGATGGAGAGTGTTCTCAGCTCCTGACTGTATTCCATTAGGTTCTGAAGCCTTGCATATGCCCTGTTGGCTCAAATGTTCCCTAACTTGATTCTCCACCAAAAGTATACCTTCTGTACTCTAGACTTTCCAGCTTGCCTCAGGGCCCTGGAATAACTGAAAGTCAGTTTTACCAGTAAAAACTAAGGTGAAAAAGGGTCTGAGCTCCTCAGCTTTGCTGTGTCCTTTCTCACCAGGTCTCATCCTTAATCTGACCAACACTGGAGAGCATTGGGAGGATTAGATATGTGCAGTAATATAAAGGAATTGGTTGTGTGCTGATGTGAAACCTGAACAACCCTTTTATACCCATATGGAGTCTCTCAATAATTTCTCCATTGGTGGTGCCCTGGTTCTAGGGGAGGTAAATCATGGATGCTATGCATCCCTTTTTCCTCCTTCTCCTTGTTCTTTCCTTTTTTCAACTGTTTTCACAGTATGCTGCCTACAAAATAGCTAAGAGGAAAATTCTTCTGAGTAACCTGTGGACACATCTATTTGTACAAGATTTCAGCTGCTTTGAAGGATTGTTTCCTGTTATTAAGGTGTAAAACAGCTCTTGTGGGAAAACTAGAATTTTGCACATGTAATTAGGAAGGTATGATAGTTTATTTCTGGTGATGCACAGCCAAGAGCTGGGAGATTTTGGCACTTAATGAAACAAACACCTTTTGAACATCTGAAATTGCTCCTGAATATATTTTGATTACAGTGTGAACATGGCAATAAAGGAGTCCCTTGAGAGAGAAAATATATGGATTCAAATATTAATATTTTTTGTCTGGGAACTGGTTATCTCCCAAGACAGAACTGTTATGTTTCTCATTGATTAACCTTTTAATTGGCTTGAGGAAAGAACCAGAGTCTTAAAACAGGGTGCTGAGCCCTGTTTTAGGCAGAAACAATAGTTGTTCCCACACCGGTCAGTGACAAACTCTCTTTTAGTTTCCAACATGATTTTGACCCCAGACCCTTTCCATTTTTGCCATGCTATTGATTCCTGCTCTTGACTCTGCAGGCATCCCTGGCATACACTGTGATTCCGGATGCTGGCACTGCCCATCAGGTGAAATATCCCTAATATAAGTACCAGGTCTGCTAACAGAGGGACAGGAGCTGCTTTATTGCACTGGTTTATGGAGTTCAAGAGGAGCTGGATCTACAACCAGAACTCTTTTCTTCTTCTTTTTAATGGAATTATGAAACTTTGTTCTGCTTTTCTGGATAAAACCAGAAGTTTTTCTCTGAATTTTTTGCCTTGTGACAAATGACTGAGTTTGTGGATATAGTCAATACTTCAATATCCCTGCTAATTCTACCAGCTGTATCACAAGTGTTTTGGTAACTGCATTTTTTTGTTGTTGTTGCTCAAGCCCATGTTTAGGGCCAAGATATTTAATATTTTATTCAAAAATAAACACACTGTTACTGACAAAAAGCTGTAAATGGGAAGCCAGATGCCCTTGAAGTCTCAGTACTGTTCCCCAGACTGCACACTCTCTATTTTTTACTTTCATAAATTTTAGAACGTTCTGATAATTTTTGAATCTCTGGCACTGACAAGGCTGGAATTACATTAGTCTTTCAGAGCTTTAGGGATTTTATGAATGTTCACAAACTGCAAAACAGTTCCCCCATCCATAATATGAGTGCAGTTTATAAAAGAAAAAAAATCCATTAACATTAACGAGGCAGTTAAATATAAAAAATAAAGCCTCACTATGAGAAAATCTCTAAAAATTATATAGCTGTTTTTTAATGCTACTAGTCACTCAGCCACTGTTCATGGCATTTCAGTTTTCTTTTGTAAAGCTAGAATCAGAGCACTACAGAAAAGATGTACTTTGACCTCTGTTCCCTCAAAGTTGTCTTCATAGGGAAAAAGAAACAAACAAACAAAACCCAAAAAAACCCCACGCACAAAAACCCCAAACAAAACAAAAGGAAAGGGTTTGATCTCTAATTATCTTCAGCAGTTTCTCTATTCACAAAAGTGAATGTTTTATCCATTATAATGCTCACCGGCTTCATTCATCAAAGACAAATCTGCCTTTCACTTCTTGAATATTTTTGGGAAATATTAAGCCAAGATAATGTAAAATTAGAGAACACAGACATGCCACCACTTTGTACAGACTAATACAAAGCATATCCTCTGATACAGTCAGCAATTAAATGGCTTCAGCTGGTCTGCAAACTTACAGCACTCTGAGTCTCAGGATCACTTGTTTACCTGTATCCATCCATGTAAGTAGCAGAGTGAAGCTCACAAAGTTCAGGTTACTAACAGACAAAGTCAAGCACAGAGGAAAACTATGAAAGGGCTAGGGCAGAGTTCAGAGATAACTGAAATAATTTTGCCTTTGAGAAACAAGGCAGGCATATCTAATAATAAAAATAGGATAGCCTAGCAAAATGAAATATGTATGGGTATGTGTGTGCAGTCTCATGCTAATAATTAGTCTTGCAAAGGGTAAGCACAGTTCAAAGTACTTTGAAAAAATTACTAACAATCTCAGATAGAGGTTGCTGTCAAATAGAATAGAACTAACAGTGATTGAGGTCTGTAGCAGTAATTGATACAAACATTGACATTAATGCTGAGATACTTACATGGAACAATTCAGCACTTCATAAACCTCTTCCCATGCAAAAACTGACCTTTTAAGCTAATAACAGAATTGCTTGTCTCTTGCATGGGAACTTGGCATGGCCAACACTTCTTTCTACCCAACTGTTGGAATGAATGCTTTTTAATAATTTTTCTGTCTTTTTTAGGACAGTTGTAGCTCATAATGATAAAACAATAACAAAATTGAATACCATTACATTTTTAATCAATAAAATGTCTTTTCCTGAGTCTTGTCTGAATAGTTTGTGCTAGAAATTTTCCGAGATCACTGCAAATCAGTATAATAAAATGTTGTTGACCAGTTCCTTTGTACAAAATGAAGTAATAAAGAGCTTTTCTGTTAAATTTATATTTTTATTGTGAGATGCCATACTCAAGACCACACACATTACCATTATATATGAGAAAAAGTATAGTTGTTTCAACAGACAAAAGTTAAAGTGCAGTTGATTCATTGGCTCCTTTAAGAGGACTGGCATCTGGAGCACATGCACTTCAAAGTCAAATGCTGTACTGAGATGTGCTGCTTTGAAGTACAGCTGCTGATCCAGACAAATTTTGGAGCCTAAACCAGCATATGAATCTGCTGTACTCTGAAAAAAAATCTATTTCAGATGCCAGTTTTAACTCAGTTTAGAAAATTGCTGTCTGGATCGGCTGAACTTCAAAGCTGAACATCGCAGTGCTGCATTTCCCTTTGAAGTGCAGCTAATCCAGATAGTGGATTTTCTCTCCCTCCTATTTTTTTAAGTAGTTAAAATTGGCATCTGACCTTACTAGTATTTCTCCTTACCATCTGCACATTCTTCTTCCCTTCTCCCTTATTTCCTCATCTTTTGACCCCTGAAAAACACAGCAAGATTCACTAGCTTGTTATCCCCTGCACTACCAAATCACTATAAAGGGGGTGGTTGTGGGGACAGCCTATATCGAGTTACATAATGGACAGCAGCCAATTATTGCACGTGGCTTGTCATGAAGTTTGTTAAATAATACTTAATTGCACCATCCAAGAAAAATAAAGCTCAAAGCAAATCCCTCATAAATGCTTGCATTGAAAGCATTTGTAACAACAGACTCATGATTCTGCCAACCCATATAAACAGCCATTAGCACTGGTTTAAAAAGTAGCTGAGCTTGATAGCATTTCAACTTTCAGAAATTTTCGGTTACTTTGTCACAGAAAGGTCTCCTTCACAGTCAAGTCAGGAAAGCCTTAAGGAAAATATGTTACTAGAGAAAAAACGAGATTACTACAAGCAGAATTTGCACAGCTTCTGGCAAGGGGGAACCAAGGGTAAATGCGGTGCCCTCACCAGGACACACTCATATTATACACACATCAGGGATAGTGCCATTTGCTACTGAATTAAAAGACAAACCATGAAGAACTGTTGCACCCTGTTCAAAAGACAAAAACAAAGAAAAAACCCCCACCCAAACACATGCTAGTACAAGAGGACAATTTAATGACAGCATCTCTCATTTGCTGAGAAATAACTCTGGAGAGAAAAAGAACTGGAAAATGACCAGCATTTTATTTGCACAGATCATGAGACATGTCACTCGGGTGATCTGTTCTTGTCAGGCAGTCTTTAATTAGAAAATTCCTAGAAAGAACTCATGCTCCTACTAGGTGCTTATTAAAAACTAAAGACAAAAGGATCAGTAGAAAAGCCCAAGGAATGGACAGAGAACTCAGGTTACACTGAAAGGCAAGAGTCATCTACTGCTTACATAGAGAGAGACACTCAGGATGGGATGCTGGATTTTCAATGAAAAACTCTCAGTGCTGTTATTAGTGAGTATTTTTAGCACTAAAATTTCTAATTGGATATATATAAATATTTTAAGCTTGTTTAAAAGACATTTTATGGTTTGCTTACAGTAATACTCCCAAGCTTAATGTAAAACTTGCTATAAAATATTCAGCAGCCTTTTTATAACTAGTCTTAAAAACAATCTAAAGTCTTGGTGTTTTAATTTTAATTATTTTTAAGTCAATGTACTTTAATCTTCAGATAAAGGGAGCAGGGGTTTACAATTATAATTGAAATTATATTCTGGTATATTTTCAGATGGATTGGTGAATTGTATATGTGAAGCAGAGAAAGGAATTTCCTTAGCTCTTAATTCCCACCATTTCTGTTATTTTTTAATTTTAGTGTTTATTTCCTTTTTAGAGACCAGGTTAAGGCCTGTGATTAAAAGCAAGTTTACTATGACACAGTAAAAATCATTTATATAATTTACTCAAGATCTGGGGGGTAGGACTGTAACCCTGAATTTGCTAAAATACAGCTTCATTCCAGCAAGTACTTTTGATTTCTATCGTCTGTGATCAAGAACTGCATTGCATACTGATTTTGAAACATCTCTCAGATTCTCTCAAAACTATAACCATAGCCAGTTTTATATGTACTTAGAAATACTGTAAATGTCATTAATCTTTAGCCTCTCTGCTTCATAGCTGGTGTGGCTGGGACTGAACTTCTATTTGTTTATTGATACCTTCCACTGGTATGAAGATGACAATGCTTACATTTATACACGGATTATGCTGGGAGTAAGTATGAGTTTGATGGTTAAAGGGCTTCACAAGAAGAATGTATTCATAGTCTAATTTTATTTACATCCTTCATAAAACTTTTGATGCTTCAAAAGTAATTTTCCCATATAAGAACATTATATTTATATAGTATTTTCTTTATTTTGCTCTTCTTATACCAAGCTTGTAATTTAATTTCTTTATGCTGTTATATGTACAGTCAACCCTGGCTTGGGCAAGAGCTTCTGCAACGTGCCTTAATTTTAACTGCATGCTAATCCTGTTACCAGTTTGTAGAAACCTTATTTCATTCTTAAGAGGAGCAAGCATTGTAAGTACCATTTCTCAAATAGCCATATTATTCTCTCTTTTTTATTTCTGTTGTTCAGCAGTATTATCCATATCAAACATTTTCCAAGGAATTTTAATTTTTGATAGAGAAGCCTGTACACTATTGCCTAGTTATTACCATTTAAATTGTCAGTATTCATGACTGAAGAGAAACAAATGACTTGTTTAACACAGTGCTCTAAATGCAACACTGATTTTGGCAGCTGCTGCATAGCATGGTGTCATGAAGAGAAAAGTGAGAAGCCACAAAAAAGGGACATAATAATGCCACTTGGCCAAATGGGGAAAATTCATATCCATCATACGCATTCTCTGTAGATGCAAAGTGAAAATCAGAGAAATAAAATGTTCAGCTAGATAAAAATGTTCTAAGGATAACAATAAACATGTTTAAACTCTTCGGTCTGAGTGGCCATCATTCAGGTCTTCATTTGAGGTAAATGCATTTTTGCAACAGGCATTCACACTAACCTTGGAATGACACATAGGAAGTACTTAAGGTTTTAGCTCTATCAAATATAAATTCAACTTGCATTGAATTATTAGAGTCAGAGGAATCCCAATGCCATATGTTTAGGTAAAAAAATCACTGATCACTTCATGATACCAGGAACAACAGGAATTTAAAAATGGTAATATACAGTTATTTTATAGTAAGATACTTCTTATTTCAGTTCTGCCGTTTTTTGTTTCTGTGATTTTTAGGCTTAGATGCTGAGCAGTCTTTAGGCTGGGAATCAACACTTATATAATTGCTTGAGTTCAAGAGTTGAACATTTACCAAAAAAAAGGAGAAAAGGTGTCCTAGCCTTCTGAACCAGTTTATGAATCAGCACAGGATATATGCATGCCCACTTAGATGCTGAATAAAAGCTCCGAGAACTGGAACTCTTCTCACAGATAATATTTGGCTATTCTGAGCAATATTCTGCTCTTGAGGAGCATGGTACAGAGCAACTTGACTGCTTCAGGATGGCCAGCACCAGGCTGGATCCAGTGCCTCTCCAAGGAGGTGTGGTGTTTTGACATCACACACTGTGGTGCTCCAGATTTTTTGAATACTCATTAGCTGGGGAACAGCGTGGATACATGCCAGGATCTTTGGCGTGGTGCCATGCCAGGTCATGTGAGCAATCCAGACACCCACACCACTGCTCGGAGACTGTGTTCTGTCCATGAGCGCTGTCTGGGTTCCAGCAGAGCGTGTTACTTTTGGCTCAGTGCAGCCGGCCCCTGGCCCCAGGCTGGCTCCGCACTGGGGCACGCAGCCGGCTGTGAGCACACCAGTGCCGAGCCCTTCCAATAATGGGGGCACGGCTCAGTAACACATCAGCGTGCAGCCACCTGAGGTCTAGACAGCCTCCCCCTCCTGGGGTGTGCATTTTCTGAAAGCAGAGAGAATGTTTTCATTGCAAGCTGGCTTTGCCAGCACTTCAGCTCTGTTATGCTAAGCTCACAAAGCAGTGGTGGCCCAGCCTTATACCTGCAAATGAGTTAATGTCAACTCAGATAAACCACTCACAAATCATAGCTAAGTGTAGCAGAGCTTTATCAAACCCTTTTCTGAGCCTCTATATAGGATGAATAGCTTGAGAAACCCTGGAGTGCCACTCAGGAAAGTTAATTTAGTCCTAAAACTAACCCTAAACTTCCACTGAATTCCTTCAGCATTCCATTTTCAAATGTACTGAACTCTTCTCCTCTCCAAAATGTGAGATGTAAACATCAATAGGAATGATATAAAACAAGTTCTGCTTTTTCACCAAGTACTGTGGAGGAGCATTGAGGAGACAGCTTGACAAAAACATCACATTTCACAAGATGGTTGCCTATGGAATAGCGTTAAATGCAAGTAAGAGTTTTTTCATTTTTTTTTTCTTCTTTGCCTTTGAACTGCTTTGAATTTCATAGTGATTCTGCCTAATGCTGTAATCTCCATCAGCTCTGAGATGTGATATTTTAGTGCAATCATTTGTTGACTGCAGCTTTAAATGTGTGTAGGAGTCCCATCTGATTAACCATTTGTAATCTTTTTTGCTTGAGAAGAGTTTGACTGTTAAGGAAATAAACTTTCAATCTGAATAGTAAACACCAGTTGCCATTTAGTTAATCTGAACAAATTGTATGCCCTTAAAATTTAGTGTAAGTAACTTTCATTGAGTCCCTGAGGGTAGATGTTTGGGGAGATGACATAGCATTACTGTCTGATTCTATAAGGAATTATGCTTATAAGTCACACCACAAATCTGCCCACCCATACATCTTCACTAAATTTTCAGCCAGGTAATAAATTTATTCTGAATTTGAGAGAGGCAGGTGTCTCAAAAACAAAGGATTTCTAGATATTTTTTTTTAGTAGGTGACTGATCCAGTAAAATAATGGCCTCTTTGAGGGGAAAACAACAACCTGAGATCAAAATTTATCTATTTTGTTGCTCCTAGTGACTCGCTGAGGTGCTTGTTCACCTGGCTGGGAAAAAGACATGGCACCTTCCTGTTCTCTAAGTAGTAAAAGGACCTGGAGAAATCTGTAGGAATTCAGAGGACATGAGGGGAACAGGAGACAGCTTGAGAAAAAAGGACGTACAACAACAAAAGCCAGTGTGAAGGACATGAGCACACAGAGATGGAGATATCTGTGGTAGATGTAGATAGATAGATAGATAGATAGATAGATAGATAGATAGATAGATAGATAGATAGATAGTTCTGTTAAAAAATGGGAAGGAGACAGAGGAATTAATCAGGGCTTTTGCAAGCATGAGACACTGCAGGGTAACTGTTCCCCCCCCCGAGGCTCTCAGGGTGGATTCTGGTCCCAATATCTTTTTCAGCCTGAGTGAGGGAGCTGCTTTTGTGTGTCTAGGCTGTTAATGACCTCATGCCGTGAGACAAGAATTTGAAGTCAGGATTGCCAACAGGAACCAATAGCTAAAGTTTGTCTTCTGTATGTCGTGCTAAAGAATTCCAAGGGGAAGGCTACGGGATATATACATTCATCTTGCAGTGTATTCTGATGAATTACTTTTCTGTCATGTCCACTCATTCATCAGAGTTCAGTTTCACTACAGAACAGATTCCTAGAGAGTGCAACATTGCTTCTTTAATTAATATATCAACCCAGGAATATAAATTGAACAACTTTTCTTGGTGTATAATAGGTCATGTTCCAAAGAGAAAGAAAAGCTTCAGAGTCAAACCTTTTATGTTTTTGGTTTTTACATTAATATTAAAATGCTTGCTAGTGCATTAATGTGGACAGTTTGGGAAGTGCAAGTCTATCAGAAAAGTGATTACTTTAATGGTTTCACTAATTTCAAGAAAAAGACACAGAATCCAATGTGAAATGACAGAAAGCATGATCATATAATTCTCATTTAAATCACTCTATAGGGAGAAATCAAAGTTTCATTTTTGGGTTGTTATTTAGGTTGTTTTTTGTTTTTTCTAAAATATAAAATGCAATAATAGTTGATGAGATTTTGAGAAAGAAAACAGAACACAAGGAAGTCTAATAAACAATGCAAGACAACCTATGAATTCCTGCTTCCTTAACAGTCAAGTGGGAAACATTTATCATATTTGGAAAAACACTACATCACTGAATAGCATTAGACTTGCGTAAAGAATGGCCAGAAACTCAATTTCCTGAAATTCAATTTTAAGTTCATAGAAAAATAAAGTCTACAGAACACATTGTGACAGAAAAGCAGCATTTCAGAGTGGTACCCACATGTACACTGAATCCTTTTCAATAAAATCTAACAGTGTTAAAATGATGTGTAAATAGATGCCATTTTCCTCTCAACTGACACATTATTTATCCTAGTACTAGCTATATTGCCTTTTATTACACAAAAACATAGTCAACTCCTATTAGTCTATTGCAATTTAGTAATTCTCAGTTAAACGGATGTTCAACCCTGTATGATCAATAGACTAAATGTGGTAGCAAGAAGTTAAACCAATTTGAAGATCAGATCAGTAAGCTTAGCCTCACAATATAAAATTGTAAACTCCTTTATTATTAAAGCAACATGTATTCATCTTGGCTTGCCAGGTGGTGTTATTCCAGCATATTTATTTAATAGTGTGCTAAAAATAGTCAGTGTAACATTGGTATTTTCTGCCTTCTTACAGGCAGCTAGCTCAGCTGAGGTGTGCCTGGCCTTGGAAAGAGTACATCTGTACCTTTAATTTTTCATCATCTCTAATACAAATTCAAGAGCAGGCTTTAATTGGTCAGGTCATAAAGGAATATAATTAGAGACTGGTGGAAGAGGGAAGTTGGAAGAAAGAGAGAGGGTAAACAACGCTATCTATAATCAAAGGCGTCATTGAAAATTCAGTAAAGGGAATTTTGCTTAGTTTGGCTTCCTGCATTCTGCATGCCTGTCTGTGATAAGAGCTGTCTGGAAGTTATTCAGCCACTAATAAATCTTCCTTATAGACCCGTAACTCTGCTAGAAGAAAATCAGAGTTTCATGCATTCTCAGTTTGATCAGTGCAAATAATTCTGTGCTTTGTACTGGAAAGAGACTTTTCAGTTGAAAGACAGTGGCCTGAAACTTAAAGACACCACAAGAGATAGTAATAATATTTTCTACAACACCTACTTCTTACTGTTTTTACCCTCTCAAAAAATCGTACAATCGTACAAAAAATAATTGTACATTTTCTGAAGTGGGGAGTGTTGGGGGCATTTTCCTTTATTTACTTTGATATGTTTGGCTTACCTTAAAGAATAAATTACTTGCATTTCTTTGGTGTTAGCAGAAAGGTCATATGGATATTTTTCTCCATCAATCTTTGAATTATGATATGAATAAAGTTTAACAATTAAGGGAAAACAGGGGAAGGACAGCAAGGTTGTTTGGAGTTAGGCCGTTTGAAATGGTGATTTCTGCTCCTTAAAAATTACAGCAATGTGTTCTTCTTTAAAAACATGCAAAGTGCAGAAAGAAGCATAGTGATGCCAGGCGTGCTTGGCTTCTGACACTGAAAAACATATAGCTAAAATTACTAGGAAACTTTTCCATTTTCAACAACTTTTTGGTAAACTATGTGAATGGCTTTGGTGACCTAGGCCACATTTTTGTGTAAATTACTAAGTTTTCAGGGGAGCAGATGCCTATCTTCAAAAGAGGACTAGTTGATACCTCAGTGTTGTACTTCCAGAAATTACAGAAATTCAAACTTCTATTAAATATCTTTTTTTTGTTTTTCAGTCAGTTTGTTTAAATCCAGACTTAGTGTGAGTACAAGGAAGGAAACAATGTTAAATTGAAGATTGTAGGCTTCCAGCTGAGTTAGAAAATGGTCCAAGTCATGTTCTTCTTTGATGTTTATAACCATTCTTAAAAACAAAATAAAATGCAAGCACATTTTTGGTCACTATTTTAATTTTTATACAGTCCACAAAGATATCATGAAGTTGGATTGGGGGTTCAGAATAACTAGGAATGGCACAAGACAATGGGTGGCAAAAGAACCCCAGCCTTGGTCAGGGGCAGAATTCTCCACATCTGGGTTATCTGCCTGTAAAGTTGTTCTCTTTGCTATGGGCAGAAAGACCAGGATTTGACCCTTTGACTTTATCATGATAGGCTGGTTAATCAAAATGTTTAACTGCTAGCAGCAAGCTCCAATTTGCTTATTATCCTGTAAAGGCATGCAGAAAAAGATAGAGTTAAATCTTGTCCTCAGATAAACACATGAAATTTCTGTTTAGTTCAATGAAAGTTGTGCATGCTTCACTGAAGGCACAATTGGCTGAATAAGAGTAGCTAAATTGACCATACTTTCAAGATAATTTAATTACATCTCTTTGTATTTAAGGATATGTACAGTAAACACCATGATCTAATAGCAACCCTTTTCCTCCCTCTCTCCTTCCAATAAAGCCTTTTATTTGATCTCAGAGGTGGACTAGATAGAACATCTCAGGGTCAAATACAAATTAATGTATGTTAAGTGCTTCAGAGGTTCCAGATGTCATTAAATCCTTCATTCTTCATAAACTCTTATAAAAAAGAGCTTTGTTTAAAAGATTGGGTGATTTATTCCATATGTTATATTTGGACATGCAGAATGAGGAAAAAATTGAACCGAAAATTCTGAGATGTAGTCCCTTAAACTTTGCCCTCATGGTTAACTCAGATAAGTGGTGCAGAGGAAAGAACTACCAACTGTGGTAAGCTCAGATTTCAGAAATCTGCATATGTAATTTTGGAATTAGTAAGTTCTATACACTGCAGATGCAAAGACCTTCAGAAAATGCACTTTAGGGATGTAAAATATTTTAGTTAATGGCAATGTGTTCGGTGCCAGAATTTTTATTCTGCTACAACTATTATACATTAAATGAACCACACTGAAAATGGAATTATATCTTTGCATTACTCTTACCATTGAGCTATAATTCATTTTTAGATTGCATCATTTTTTGCTAGCAGCACAAAAAAACCCCATCAGAAGTATTAATCTAATAACACTCCAGGCAATATCTAAGATCATGGGAGACTCAGGTAAACCAACATATTCAGTATATCATTAGTTTGACTGTGGTATTTTTTAATTTATCATTATTCTCTGTACATTAACATCTCCCACATAATAGCTTACTGAAAATAAAAACAACAACAAACAGCAACTCTCGCCTTGCTCATTCTGGAAGTCTTCTACACTTGTAATATACTCTACCCATCAGATGAAAGCTGGAGAGAATGCCACCCAGAAGGGAAGGTGTGGTGGATCCCAAAGTATCTATTATGATATTTCCATTGACAGAAACGCAGGGAAACAGAACAATGTGCAGATAGAAAAGACAGTGTCCTCTGATAGCCTGCAGAAAAACCTTACTAGGCTAGGTTGCCAGAACTGGATCTCTTCTTCCAGGAGAAAGTTGCAACATGAGAACTCCTCATCAACTATAGTTTCAAGACCTCCTTGAGAAACTATATCCATTCAACCAATTTTTCTTCTGTCCAAGAGTAGAAATGCTCTGTTAGGAAATGTGGAACTCTGTCTGGAGAAAACTAGCACCTCATTTCACTCTCAACACTCAGCATTTACCAGATAGCATTAGATCTCCTGTCTCTGCTGACATGACTAGAACTTGTGCAAATCATGTAGAATCCTGCACTTTGTGGAAAGTTCAAGATTTTGAAGCTTTCTAAACAACAGAAATGTCATCATTTCATGTGAATATCTTATAGTCTGCAGTATCACTTTAAAAAAAATCTATTGTTTTGAAGGTTAAAGAAGAAAGTGCCTTTTGCTATGAACACAGATTCAAACTTCCACAATTAGTCAGTGTCACAATTCTAAATGAGCAAAGATAATCCAAAACCTGCAGCTGACAGACTGCAAGCAAGCTCTGGTAAAACAGCACTGTGGATCCTAACTGTGTGAAACTCTCTTGGTCCGTAGGCTATGGGGACTATTACATCATACCAGGGTTATAAAGAGCATCCTGTAGGTATAGAGGGCAAGAGGCCCAAGTTACAGTAATCATTCATAGATGCCAAAATAAAACTACTTAGTAGAAGTCCACTTAGAGGCTCATTGCAAGGGTTTTCCATCCTTTGAAAGTTTTCTTTCCTCTTTCCCTTAGCTCTTACCAGCCAATGTGCAGCATGTAACTCCACAACTTACCAAAGACAGAAATCTGTTACCCCACACTCCTGTCCTATGAGTGAGCTCTTTCAGATGTCAAAGAAATCAGGTCCTCATCAAGCAGCGACTTGGTTCCCTTCCAGCTGGATCAGATAACATGCTTACTAGGCCAATACATCTGTTCTGAAAGAAGCCCCTTGTAGGAACAGTTCCCCCTTCCCACTCAGCACTTAAACGTGCTGTTACACTTAAATATATAAACAGTGTTTGTATACTGTTTATGCATCAGTTGTACACTGGGGAACAGATTGCCACAGCCCCCACACAGCTGCCACCTAAACCATCCAGCTCAGCGCTTGGGCTCTTGTGTTTTGGCAGTCTAAATCCACACATCTCATTTGCTGCTTGTGGTCCAATGTCACCTTCCTTCCAGTGCTCCCAGAACTGCTGGAGTGCTGGGAGCACACTCTCATGCACAGGCTTCAGGAAGCATCCTTCACCTGATGCTGGCAAGGCTGCTTCACATGCAGCACCTAACCCATAACAACACGTGCAGGACATGCCAGGCCACTGAGTCTAGTACCCTCTGCTGCTCTCAGTCATGTCATGCACACCGTTTCATAAAATGACCAACCTTTGGCTGAAAGCTGCTTAGCTTGCTTGATCCCATTATCCCATTTATCAAAAGGTTATTTTAGAGTCTCATTCCTTTGATGGCTTGAATCTGTCTTCTAATTTCCAGGCTCATTTTATCTCTCTGCAGTTCATATCCATTTGGATTCGGTCTCCATCCTGCTGAAACTATTCCAGCTTGTATAAATAATTTATTATTCATTGGGCCAAAGATTCAGGAGAAATGGGAGGTTGATTTTGCAGTTTGGGTGCTCAGGATATTCACTTGGGATGCCTATGTCAATAAATATTGGATTATTTTTATTAAGGGCTTCATCAAGAGACAGCTCAAAAGAGAATAATAACCAGTCAACCCAGTGACTAGGCCATGTGATTTGGTTTAAAGCCTTTCTTTAAATTTAATGTAACAAGGATTTTTAAATAGGTCTTTCATCTCCCAGTGAATATCTAAGCATGAGGCAATGAGGTATCAAGAAGTGGTGGGGGGAGTCCCTAAGTTAAGATTATATTTTGAATGAAGTGCATCCTGACAATCAACCAACCACAGTACATCTACTGCTCTAGCAGGATCACCTCAGAAGTACAGAGAGATAATAGCCTCTCTCCAGCGTGGACACATGGAGAGAGACTATTTCTGTATTTTACCTTCTCGCAATGGCTGCTTTAAGCATTTCCATGACTAGCATCTTACTTTAACTCAAGCTCCCATGGACACAAGCTGTCCCCTGGTGCTGAAGAGGAGCTGGACTCCAGCATGTGGAGTGAGTGAGCTCACTAAGTGGTTTGGCACATAAATGACCAGCAATACCAAGGTCCTTTGGGAGGGGAGGGTAAGAGATTTTTTGAGAATATTTTTCAGGGAAGATCATTGGTTTACTACAGATACTACCTTTTAGAATGTTTTTTAAATGGTCAGGGACAGAAACAGATAACCACTGAAGGAGAGATGATAACATGAAGCTAATTATAAAAACTAGAAATAGCTGTGCTGTAAACATATAATTATCTTTCATTGTCATTTTTTCATCCTTTGGCATTTAGTATCTTGCATTAATTACAAGTTGCATGTAGTGGTTTGAGAGTCTCTCATATTGAAAAATGAAACTCTGCACCTAGCTTGATTACAACTTTATCTATGTAAGCCAACAATAAAACAAAGTCCTTCCTTTTCCACTCTTGAAATTATAATCTTTCCACCCAAGAAAATAGTTATAGGGGATTTTTTACTTCAATCTAAGGCATTTTTCTCAACTGACCATTTCATATACCTTTTGGGAGCAGGCCAGAAGTAGAGGCCTACTAGAGATATATGATACTCCAGACAAATCAGATCTAACACTGCGATTTGCTCTTCTCCCTTTAAATCATAGTTCTCATGGATTCCCCAGGCCCCACCTGCATGAAGTAATGCTACAGCTACTTGTTAATAGGGGACAGATTTTGAAAGCATCTCTAGTGTAAGTTGCAAACTGGTCCATGCCTAAACCGGTCAATTTAGTGTCCTGTGTAGCAAGGCCATAGTACAGAGTAGTATATTAATTAAAAATAGGAATTTTAATGAGTTTACCTAATTTTGAACAATTTAAAGTCACAGGCATACACTTTTATATCAACTCTCAAGAGATCCTCCTTTGATGACATTGGAGACTGCAGGGCATTTGACTGTAAAGCTGGGAGGTGAGCCTGGTTCTGTTCCTATCCTCTCCACTGTGAAGCAGTCGCTTCATATTAGACATGCAGTTGATAAAATTCTCTTTTTATTGTCAGCTTAATTCATGCAAAACTCTCAATTTATGCCTGAGCTTTTCAAATAGTTCACAGTGTGCATAATGAAGTTCCTTCTGGCACTGTGGGCACATACAAGTGTGCCTGTAATTTCACAACACTCTTTCTCTCCTGCAGCCATCCATATTGTTGCCCACTCCATCAACATCGAGCGGTATCATTCCAGCCAGTCAAAAGAAGCTGGCGAGTTACGGAATAAACTTTCTGGTCTTGGCAAGAGTCCAAATGAAAGCTACTTGAACCCAATCAGGACCTATGAAACAGTAAGATGTCACTTTTTAGGTTTCCTCATCTAAAAAGCTTTCCTCTGTGGATTCTATTGTCGGTAAAACTATATTTCAAAGCCTTTTAACCAGAGTGAGAAGGTGCTGCCAAAGGTTAACCTCAATTTCAGCTGAAATCACTTACTCAGAGCTGCAATTTTCAGGTTACTAAGCTCAAAGAAATATCTATAGTATTTTAATTAGTTTGTCAGGAGACAGCTGGTGGGGGGAGGATAAAGTGTTGTGAAGAGTAGGCAATTAAATAAACCTGCAAAGAATTAAAAAAAAACCCAAAACTAAACTATCAATACATGGAACAAGCACAACTTCTTTTCAGAAAGAAAAATAACCAAACAGCTATAGCATTTCACAATATTTCTTTTGCATTTGCGATTTGTCTCTCCCCATGGTGGTGCAGCACCTTCCTGGTCTGGGGGCTGACTCTGCCTTGTTATGTGTCGAGTGTGGCTGCTCAGGGAAGAGCACCTTCAAAACCATCCAGGGGGTTGCTGCACACAGGAAGCAGTGTAGGGGGAATCTAGAGGTGCTTTGTGCTCTTCAGAGTCTAGCAGAGCTACAGGATCCTCAACCTATAAATGGTTCTGCTTGTTTTGGGGAAGAGAGTGACTGTGCCCCCTGTCCTTATTCTTGGATAACCCACAACAGTATTATAAGCTCTCCCTTATAATATTCACAACATAAAAAAAAGCTGAGAATGCAGAGAATGCGTGCAAACCATGCAAAGGTGAATCAGTTATTTTCCCGTATTCCATTACAGCACACATCACATTTATGTTAGATGCTTCCTTGTGCATCCTGTTTCACAGTTACATATTACAGGGCTGAAATGGCCCCAGTGAGACTCCCACACATATTGTTCTGCTCACCACACAGTCGGCATGAAATAAGGACTGCCTGAGCACCATGGATTGGTGTCCTTTTGAACAGTGATGTTTTCCACTGAAACAAGAAACCAAGTGAGAAGATGGTTAGACAACCATTGATAGGATTCAACAGGGCTTTTAAGCTGCAAGGCTTGTCCTGATTTTGCTTATTTCTTTTCCACTTTAGATAGCATTTGAAAACAATTTCAAATTTTAAGACAATCAAGCAAATTTTTTCAGTCAATGTTATGAATGCAAACGTCTTCATGTTAGCATTGACAAAGAGTCAGGTTTATCAGAACAGGACAGCAAGCCAAGGTCTCAGCTTTCCAGTCTTTCAGAACACCCAGTGACCACTTCCATTGCTTTGCCATGAGGTACTCCCCAGGAGCAGAACAAAACTCCCAGCTCTGAACAGGAACTTACCATCATTCAGTAAGCATTTTTTTTTCCCACTAATCATTCCCATAATGATATAATTGTAAGGTAGGCCTCTAATTAGCATTAAGATCCTACATACCCTTGAGGAAGAAGGTTAGGATATTTTGAGATTCTTAGATTTCTCACAGCAGTACACTCCACAATTACCTTTCAATTTGCAGCCTAGATTTTACTCTAACCTCTAATATTTATATTTCTTTTATTGCTCACTTGTGTCTCAGTAGCTAAATTCAGAATTAATAAATTATGAAGGGAAGCAAACAAAAGATTGTTTCTAACTTCAGAGGAGAAAGTTCTTAGATCAACAATTCAGGCTTTATTTCAGTTTCATCCAACTGCCATTGAAGCCATGTACTGTCTTTGACATTTTGCCTTTTCTCATCTCAATATCCAAACTAGCCATTGTAGTGGAAATGTTCAAAATATCACCTAGATCAATCCTGTTAATATGTAATAGGATCTGAACACGCTCTTCAAGGTGCCCATTTGAAAATGTACTGTGTGCTGTCAAGTGTGAGCATTTGAAAGAATGATTTTACTGTAAAAAGTGACTGTAAAAATGGCATTGTGGAATTTTATCACCTCCAGGATTTCCATATCAAATGAGTGCACTTTACAAATACAATAGAGGGTTGTGTTTTTTTTCTCCTAGTGTAATAAGCTGCAGAACCAAATGAGGATCCAGAAGATGTGCTTAGCTCTTCATTCCTGTGCATCACCACTGGGAAAACAGATATACATGCTTTGTAGGCCAAATAGGGACTTCATTTACACTCTGATGGCATACTTAGCTTGATTCTCATCTTGTGTATGAGATTTTTACTGCTGTTCTTCACGATTTACACTTTATAACTGCAAGCAACATCTGACAGTTGTGTTCAAAATACATATTCACTCTCACTTCAGTTTATTTTGGTGGGTTTAGACAGATATACCAGACCTGTGATGACATCTGCTCATGAACAAGAAGGAACATGTTCCAGCCCAGCATATTAATGTTTCTTCATTCACAAGTATAAAAATGTTAATATAAATATGTATTTTTAAAAATAAACCTAAGTATTATGCAGTGTATCTACAAATAAATGTAAGGAACAGCTAAACAAGATGTATTTTTAAGTAAATGAGAGTATACCACATTTGTGTACCATTTCTGGGCTGCTACAGCCTCACAAATTTTGAAGTAAAGTAAGCACAAAAGAGTTCCACACCTCTACAGTTGCAGGTGTCTTAGCACCTCACATTATCACTTCACAAAAATAAGCTGTTTTCTAGTCCTGTTTTCTTTATTAGACTTCTAGGTTTAATCTTCTAATTTCTCTAATAATTTTTGTTTATTTGTGACACACTTTCATTAAGTGTGCAAGTAAGTAAAATTGATCAAAGTACAAATGAGACTGTCTAATTTCTTCCTTTCAATTCCTGAAACAAGTAAGTGGCAGCAAATATTTAAATACCTGTTTGGAATAAACCCAAGAAGAAATGAAGCAGAGGGATGTCTTTCAATATGGTTCTTTGGTAAAATGAAGGATTGCCTTGCCTCCATGTCTTGTTCTGTTTTTTTTCCTATGCTGAAGATTTTGTCTTCATGTGTAATAGCAGCAACAGTAACAATAATAAAAGTAACAGAAATAGTAATAAAAATAACAGTTATAACACCAATGACTACTACTACCAATACTAATAATGTATTCTTATTCTAGAGCACAATAGGACAATTACTAACCACAATAGCTGGAATAACTGGAGTTGTGATAACGGTGGCTTTAATTCTGATCATGACTTCGTCCACTGAGCTCATCAGAAGGTCATGCTATGAGGTTTTCTGGTACACCCACCACCTCTTTGTGGTTTTCTTCACTGGTTTAATAATCCATGGTATGGGGTAAGTACCTGTGTAAACTACATGGCGTATATGTACACAGTTCAAGATGAAACACCATCTAAATCTACAATCCCATGCTTTTCTACTAACAAACTGCTGGGATCTTTGGTGAGATTACAAAATGAAACCTTTCTGAAATTAAAATACATCACTTTTCTGAGGAATGAAAGCATTCTTCAGTTTATTCACCAACTTTTCTACCATCTTACAAGCTGTACCTTATCAATGAATGAACTTTCATGCTTGGGAACTGGGAACATTGCAGATCAGGAATCAAAACTTTGTAGGTTCAAATTAGTAAGGGATAGACCTTACGCTCATAGTTCTTGTAATGCATTTTGCAAGAGACCTTGTGGAAGCTTGAGAAGCTTTCAGCATGTCATCTACCCTAAAGTAGGTGTCTCTGTGGCCATTCTCCTCTGCCTCTATAAATGTAAAGTGATTTTGACATTTCACTGGAAGGACCAGAACCCCAAATTTCCTCACCGTACAGACATATTTTGTAGTAGTGCTAGGTGCTGTACTACAAACCACGTTTAAATGATTACAGTAACAAACAAGTCAGGCTTATGACTAGCCCAGCCAGATGACTTTTATGGACAGAGATGACTGCCTGGTTGCTGTTTGTCTCCCTGTTTCTCAGCACAAAAGAAAGGTCTGTACTCTTAGTAGAGGACTCTGGTTCTTACAGTGAGGGACAGATGCACGGGACCTTCCCTGAGAAGCTCAGGGACTGATAAGTCCTCTGTCAATGCAGAGTGAGAGGAGCAAGGTGCTTAGAGCTGAAAACATTTCTGTCTTCTGTTTCTAGGTCCACTGGCATCATCTGCTTCTCTCTGGTGTGCTATCCTCCACTTCCTTCTCTCATTTCTGTGCGATAGTGTTCATATTAATCTACATTCACATTTTAATTCAGGGAGTGCAGTTTTGATGTAAATCTCATGGTCTTACTCACTCCCTGGACTTGGCTCATACCATGGTACAGTCCCTGAGCTGCATAACCCAGTGTTTGGGGTGGAAATACATTGACAGGAATGCATTGCTGTGTTCCAAGAGCTAACAAGTAATCCATTCATAGGACCAAGCCAGATCTACTTCTAAGCCATAGGTAGCCTTAAGTCATGTCCTGTGAAGGGCCCTCAACAAAGACTGCTTTGCTCCATAGATCTTTTCCTGCTGGCTAGCTTGTGTGAACATGGCTGCTAGCTGTACAAAGGCAGTCATTTTGTGTTCACAGAATCACAGAATAGCTTGTGTTGTAAAGAACATTAATGACCATCTAGTTCCAGCCCCCCTGCCATGGGAAGGGACACTTCCCACTAGACCAGGTTGCTAAAATCCCTATCAGCCTATCCTTGTGATCATAATAGACTTTTTATGTCTATTTCATGAAATATTGAGATGTTATTGCCCACTACTAAAGTATGTACAGACCATGATTCTTTGACAGTGGCTTCCTAGCTCACACAGCCATGTGCCTGCTCTCTGGAGATACATGGATGCTTCATCATGAGGCAGGGAACTGGCCAGCACAATGGTTTGTGGTGTGTTACTTTCCCTACCTCTTTCCTTGTGGTTTGAGAGTTGCCATATCCAGTTTGGCTTTGAGTGTTCCTGAAGTTGGCCCAATTAATTAGTCCCATTTTACAAAGGCAGAGCTGCAAGCAAATGCTATAGACTTTGTCCTGGCCTGATTAAAATGCCCCCACTCTCTCTCTGGCAAAACTTTTAGAATCTCACTTCAAATAATTATAATGAACCCTTTAAAACGTTCAGCTTTCTAAACCATCTCTGGCTAACCAGCTGACCAGCACTACTCAGCCAGAGACTGCCCTAGAACTGAGACACTAGCTGAAGAGCCCTATCAATACCTTCAATGAGCATTCTGCTCACTGCAGGCTGGGACTGCACTGCAACAGAGGTTCCTCCTGCCCCAGAACATCCCCTGCTAATGAGAAAGAGTCAAAACCCAAGGCTTCATCCCCCTTTCACTTCTTCTTCCCAGGTGGCTGAACAAACCTCACTCAAAACTAACTTATTTTCATTCTGTCTGAACAGGCAGCAGAGGCAGCCTAAGTTTGGAAGGGAAAATTTAGAGAAAAAATATGAAACAAACAGAGTTTCCCCATAAAAATCTTCCTTCTCTGCCCATAGTCAACACTAGGAGAAATGCATTTAAACTTAACAGTCAGGATTGAGATATTTTTTTTAAAATTCACATTATTAACATTCTTAGAAGTAAGGAAGGTAGACTTCAGAATATTTAGACAGTATACATCTAATTACACTCCTCCAATTTTATTCAGAACATTTAAAAAATACATTTAGAAAGGAATAGAAGAAGAAGGTCTGTCACTATCAAATTTTGTCACCTTCCTAAACACTACCAGATGCTCAAATACAGAGGAGGTCAAAGAGACTACTCTAAAGAACCTGGAAATCAAATATTGCCACATACAGTAAAATGTACATTTTCTATGCAAGAGTTCTCTCCATTTCTGCTGTGCTGATGGACACCAATACTACAGTGCACTTCTTGCCTTTGGTCAAAAATTCACTGAAAAACTAAAGGAAAGATAATTTGAACAGGAGAGCAGAACAGGTTTGAAATGAAATGGCCAGTTCTCAAACTTTCATTTATCTCAGAACTGGCATTTGATTACTACTGCAAAACCTAGAGAAACACAGAACGCTTGGAAAGAAGCATATCATCGATGAACATTTTTTGTTTTAAGTCAGCTTGTCCGAGGTCAGACACACCAGAGTCTGCTGCTTCACAATGTCACCTACTGCAAAGATCACTACTGGGAATGGGAGAACGCCACTCAGTGCCCTTTGCCAGAGTTTTCTGGCAACAAACCTGTGGTAAGAGTGATCTTTGTCTTCTGCTTTTAACTTACTGTCCTTTCTTAGGAGGTCAAATGTCTTAGAGAGCAGGGGGCTGGAGCCTGTGCCAGTAACTGGCACTTACTGTCATGTTTGGAGAGTAGTTTCACATTCCTGTTCCAGGATCTCTCGCTGTGTATTATGATAGTGCTCCCAAGCTCCTCTGTAATCAGTACTGACACACACAGGTGAAGAGTTTTGTATATAATTTTGGTATAATTAACAGCAATTTTTATTTCTGGAGGATGCTTTAGTTATAAAACACTAACTAACACTCTTTTTGAAGGGTTTGAATGTCAAAATTGTACTCTCTCTGATCTGCTGTATGCATTTTTTTTATAATTCAATATCACTAATATCCTTGATGTGCTCATTGCACAAAGATAGCCTCTAAGTGAAAACATTATGAGGGCAGAGATACAGAAAATCCCTAGCTCTAAAGCTAGGGATGCAAATTAATATTATTATTTTAACTGAGAGTACTTTAGTATGAGTAGTTTAGATACCAAGGGAGAATAAGGTGCAGAGAAAATCATGTCCTTGCTTGGGGGCACATGCTTCATACTGTCCAGTCATGATGTCTCAAGTTAGGTAAAAAGGAGAGAATTTGAAACAATGAATTATGAAAGGGAAAGGCAAAAGGCAAGAAAAATGTCCCACGGAAGGGTGATTTTGCTAGAACAAGATTGCAAATCCACAGGGGGTAATTAAGTAGCAGACTTGTACAGTATGTCAGATGTCTTGCATACAAACAAAATCATTTAACATTTTCAGCTCAAGATTTAGATTGCTCATATGCAAGTTTCTGTTGTTTCTTCCAAAAAGAAAAAACATACCAAAGGAAATCCTAAAGGAGAAAAATTAGCATTCAGTGTCTGGTAGCTCTTTTAATGGCTGACATAGATTTTTCTTAAACTAAACTATTGTTAGCCACTATCCAACCTGCATATTAATGAGAAAATGAATGCCTCTCTAAAAATTTCAGCTACAATGTCACCATAAAAATCAATACATGGCTATGCACCATGAATACAGACGCAAGCTTGCTTCCAACAGCATGTCTTGACATTTATTATCATAAAACTAACTGGAAAGAACTTCCACTTCTCTGTGTTAAACCTATTTTGTCACACTTTCGTGCCTACTCAGGGCCATACTTGCAAAGTTACATTACTTTAAATGAATTGTGATAATACCATATGGCATATAGATCATCTATACGAATGGTGCCTTGCTGGATGTGCAATGTGAGATGCCTGATAGACACCACAGACAAATAGCACAGGTTCACTCAGAAGCTAAAAAGCCATGGCGAGGTTTGTGCAGCACTGGCAGGGGCTGGTGCAGCTGGGGCAGCCTTGGAGCAGGGAAGGGACAGCATGTTGGGATGTTTGTGCATGGTTGGGATACTGTGAAGTGACCAGAGGGCACAACACACTGATTAGGGTGCCTGGGGGAGGGCTACCACAACAGAGGCCCTCTCTCACTCATGCCACACCTGCTCCCCAGCTCCATATCCCAGCAGGTAGGAAGCAGCCCAGTCTGGCTCCTACTGGGGATGATGGAGCACTTCTCTTGCACCCATGGTGTCTGGACTTTTGTCCTCACAGCCTTTCCTGAGCCATCACAGCCCTGTCTCAGTTCATTCTCATTACAGGAGGAAACACTGCTTGGCAAGAATACTGATGCTCTGATTAGCCAGACAGGAGCTGTGCAGCTTAGAAGCCCATGGTGGATGCCCCGTTGTCCCAACCCAGCCAAGAGACATTTTGGATTGAATGCTCCATTGAACTGGAGTGATGGCACATTTAAAATCCCAGCTGAGCTCTTGCACAGGGTAGCCTGCAACCTTAGCATTCCTGTCACATGCTTTTATTTACAGGTAGCACAAATGGAAAGGAGGAAAAACAGATCTCATCATTATTGTGCCTTGATATATGCAAATGTATTCAAGACATGAGACTACCCACTGCGCAGAGACACCTGTAGTATTTAGGGACAACGGATGTGTTGAGTTTCTGCTTTAGCTGAGAGTCTGGTGACTTATGCTGGTTTCTTCCCATTATTAAATTGTGCTTTTTTTTATTTTATTTTATTTAATTTTCAAGAATTAACCTTGGGAAATTGCCATTCCATCCTCTTAGCACTTTCCAGGGAAGACGCATCATTTTATGGCTTGCTTCTCGTAAAGATACTTTATAACCCTTGCTACCCAGCTTGTGGAGCAAAGTCAATGTTTCAGCAAGTAAAGTTACTCTTTGGCAATTTTAAAAGCCACATGATTGTGGAGTATCCAGTTTGCTAGAATTAGAGGTGTAATTAAGGGAATTGGAAACAAAACAGTATCTCTTCCCGGGGAAAAAAAACCATTCTTTTTAAATCATCAGTATAAAATAATACCTAATTATCTCAGCTACCAGTGCAACTTAGTGAAATGATCAGGTCAAATATTTGAATAGCCACATACCTCTGATTGTTACAGTGATTACTACACAGGATTAGCAAGTACAAACACAGCAATCATCTGCTATACTTAAAAGTATGACCAACTCAGTATCCCAGATCAAAAAACCTCTTTTATTGATAAAGAGTTGACTAATGGATTAAATGGAAATATATCCCATTTCTCTAATTGAATATTTAGGACTTAATGTTTTCTCATACACCATCAGAAAACTCATAGCTGACAATAATACCTACCCCTATCTGCCTGCTTTGAAATACTTCAGACTTTGGGGGAAAAAAAAAAAAAAAAGGTAATTCTATGGGTAATATTGTATAACTGTATGTATCTATACAGCTTCAAGTCCAATTAAACTATATGTAACAACACCTAAATAGATTAATCCTTTGCCTTTTAATAGGAAAAGATTTTAAAGGATTCTTTTTGGCCAGAGTACAGATAGATATTAGCACTTCTTTTGGACTGTGTTTGTGAAGGAGTCCCATATGTCTATTCCACAAGAAAGCCAGAACAGCTACAGCAGCAACACAAATACTCTCTTGAGAAAGACAAACCAAAAATTACAGGAAATCAAGTAATTTAATTTTAGGCTACCTGCTGATTTAAACCAGAAAAGCAAAACATTTTTGTAGACATTCAAATAAACATTGCTTTTTAATATGGAATTTTCTACAGGCTTGGAAGTGGCTTTTAAGTCCTATGGTGTTGTACATCTGTGAAAGAATTGTTAGGTTTTGGAGATTTCAGCAGGAAGTTGTCATTACTAAGGTATGTAACAAGGCTCATATATCTGCAAAAAAAACCCCATTATGTCAATGACTTTTTTATTGTTTTTAGGTAACTTCTCTATATTAGGAACCTCATTTTTCACTCCTAGCTTCAACAACTTTTCAATGTTTTCAGCCAAGTATTGATTGTACATTTTGCATTTATTCCAATAGCAAATCCATAACAATATTTCATATGGGACCAAACTTGATTAATGAAGTACCGGATTTCACGCCACCATAACACAAAAATCTGTTTGTGGTCTCCCTTTTTAATGAACTAAAACTGTCTTCCACTGCAGTTAATGCCAGAGACTGCCTTGACTTCAGTAGCAGTATATAGTTTTTACTTTAAAATCTGGAGGCTTCCAAGGAGATGAAGGGTTATATGATCAGTTAGCACATATAGCTTAAAGCTCCACTAATACCAGTGTAACAATTTCCCCCACTTGTGTGCCAAGTGACTATTTAAATAACATCAGACTAGACTGAGGATGTTGCTACTGAAGCAGCTGAGTCCACATGTGTCAAGCCAGGGATCAGGATCAGGTGTATCTTGTGTGAGTGGAACGGGATGTTGGGTAAGTCTTGTTGCTGATTTCACAGAGTGGCTGTGATCTGAGAATCTCAGTATATTACATGTGACATACAAAACTGCTGCTTAACTGAGAATACCTCTCTAAAAAAGTGTATTAGAATTGAGCTCACTGTGCTTTTTTCTTTGTAATCCCACAGAGTTAGCAGAGTTACATGAGAGTAAAACTAGGAATTAAGGAATTATTCTAATCAATTAAGAAATACTTTTGCACAGGTTATACCAAGAAAATTGTCAAACTTTTGAATTGTTACAGCCTTTTCTCTACATCTTGCATTCAGAATTCAGGCTGTCCCACAATACATACAGTACATGCTCTCAAGCCATTGGGCTGCAACACTGCAACATGCAGGTTAGGATATGTGTGATCTAATGAAAACAAACATTTACCCTTCTGAATGGAAATAAAATTTGTCCCTTTATCATTCTTTAGGTGGTGACACATTCCTCTGGAGTCCTTGAACTCCACATGAAGAAACATGGCTTTAAAATGGGAGCTGGCCAATATATATTTCTACAGTGCCCATCTGTCTCACAGCTGGAGTGGCACCCTTTCACCCTCACCTCAGCTCCTGAGGAGGACTACTTCAGCGTCCACATACGGCTCGTAGGGGATTGGACTGCAGCCCTTTTCAAGGCCTTTGGAGCAGAGGAAAAATCTTTGAAGGAATTGTGGATGTTACCAAGGTTTGAATAAGAGACTATATATTTTAAAATGTTATTTCTACATTTTAAAATAAATGTTAACATTTTAACTTTAATTAATTGTGCATGTGTTTTTTGCTGATACATTATTAGATTGTAGTTCTGGATTCTTAAACAACAACATTATGCTAAAAACATCACAAACAAATAACCATGAACTGGGGCCAGAAGCTACCAAGAGGATGTGATGACTAATTCAAGATTTAAAGTCCATATCAATATCCTTATCTCTGTTGCTACCATCTGGATGTCTAACACCTATATCTACACCTAAAGATATCTATTTTGGAAGATGGTTGTTTAATAAATGACACTGGAAGATATCTGCTAGATTTTTGCCTCTATGCTTATGGTATCCATCACTTAATATCCAAAATTCCAGTTTTTCCCTTTCAATTTCTTAGATATCTTGCGGTTCGTGAAACATCTGCCCAAACCTTACTTCTTTCTGACAGTCTCCTTTGACCTTGTCTCTATTTTCCAAACCCTGCTTCACTTTATAAAGGTTATTTCTATCCAAATTATGTATTTTTTACATCATAATACAAGCAAAAAGTTGATTCTCTGTTGCTCCAATTTCGTGGGGATCCTCTGAAGTCAAAGGAGCCATCTTGACTTACTCCAGCCAACGACCTGGCTCTATACAGAATGGATTCCAACCATGTAGATCTACTTCTGCACTGCTTACAGGAATAGGGGAGATTTTCAGCAAAGAAGAGTCCAGCACAGGATCATTTAAATTCTAGTGGAGTATGTAGGGCCTGGGACTGCAGGGACTGGTTTCCCCCTGGAAAATTCATAGACACCACTGAGCTGCAGAGGTTTATTGGAGTTCGGTGCAGACAGGAAAATCTGGTCCAGTCCTTGTATTGTATCAGTTAATAAGAATTAAAAATGTAATCAGTGCCTTTGTTAAAAGTCAAATGGAATGAGAAGTCTGCCATTTCAGCAGAACTGGAGAAAAAAATTGTTCAAAGTGATTGACAGCAAGTGTGAAATCTGAGGAAGAGAAAAAAGTTATCAAATGTTGCTTGCCACAATGCAGGGTTGAAATTAACAATACTGTCATATATAAACACTCCTCTTTTTAATCTCATTAGGGTGCCTAATTTCATCCTTCAGTTTCTTTCTTGCAATATAGTAAAAGACTATTTCAACAGTTAATAGCCATAAAGCAAAAGACTGGTCTTTTTCACATTTCACTATCTAAAGTTATACACCAAATTGGTGACTGTATTAAAAAATAATATATAGCAGACACTGTGTGGAAGACAGAAGACATAGCAGCTGAATAATAAGATAGGGTTAAGAATAAGGTGTGTGTTTTTTAATTATTTAAAGAGGATTAAAATGAAATGTTCATACATATATATAAGTAGCAAAGATACTTGTGATTTCTGACAAATTTGGGAACTAAAACCATAGAATAGACTATTAATGTGAAAATAATTAAATTCCATGTTATATCTCTTCAGGATTTTGGCTTACTTAATTGCTGGTTTAATACATTGTTCCAAAATCTAACTGTTTTTAGAGACAGGAGGTACTACACAATCATCATGGTGATCAGCAAATGTTTAAATTCTAAAAATGATCACAGATGATCTTTTAATGATACTTCTTCAAAACTAAATATTTCTCCTGCCTTCCCCATAAATCTAACTTCTTTTCTAATGAAGTGGATAGGAAGAATATGTACAGTCCACAGTGAGAAAGTCCATAGCTCTATTTTCTACATGTCTTCGGCAAATGTAAATGTAACATTTTTTGTCACTTTGTGTACTATCTTCCTATCTTCATCCATACTATCTAGATCAAATGAATGAGTTTCATAGCTCAGTTTCTCCTTCTCCTCTTTCCCCCCTGCTTCTCTGAGGCTTTGTATTTGGCTAAGCTGCATAGCTATGGCTGAGTAAAGCATTCAAACCAATGATGGGATCTCTGTCACCTGAGGATTTAGGAGCAGACTGACAAGACAAATCTCTTCAAGGGATGATTCAGAAATAATTGAACCTGTCTTATAGCACAGCAACAGACTAGAATCCTTGAAATTTCTTCCAGATCAATTTTTCCTCAATCTACTGACAACAATGAGAATTGCTTCCAGTCTCACATTGAACTACATAGGAGGTTTATCTAAAAGCTGTTCTTAGGCACTACAGGTATATACCATAAATTAACCTTATTTTACAGGAATTTTTGAATGCTCAAAACATACTGGGCTGGGCAATAATCAAAATAATTGTTCATATTAAAAAAAAATTCTTGATGTCTAGGGTCAGATTTCCAGCAATTATGCCAGAGTAGCTGTTTTGTTTGCTACTGCACTTGCAGGGCATTTTGAATATTGAAATAAAATGTCAAATATTTTTTAGGGCTTTTAAAAAAGTAACAATAAAATTTGAAATACATTGTATCCCTATATTTTTGTGTAGCATTGCTTGGGCATCCCCCTTTCTTATCCTGTTAAAACACTTATTATGTGTGCCTATTTGTTTGTACTGTTTAAGGATAAATTTTAAGGATGATTCATGCAGTAAAGAGTACAAAGCAATAGAAAATCTAAAGGGAAGAAAAAAACCTTTTTTTTTTCCCAAAGCACTTGGTGTTGGTGAAACCATCTTCCAAGTATGTATGTTGTATAAAGAGAGGGCTGGAAAGAGAACTCCAAAGTTTTCTGTGTATTTACATTTCATGTTGCTAAAGGAATGAATCTTACTATTCAATAATATTTTTCATCTCTGATTTTGACCAAAATTAATTTCTTGGCATCAGGAACATTGATTACAGGAGGCAGTAATATCAACAAGCATGTCTGCGTATGCATTTTTGCCTTTACATCAGATACTGAGTACAGTATTATGCCAAAAATGTATTCCTGAAATACTGCTTTTTCAGAAAGAGCTGAGAAAATAGTAGTTCTCTTGCATGCTATGACCTTTTTCTTGCCTTCTCTTTTATTACTTTAACTCAAATACAGAACTTCTAAAAATGATTAATATAATCTGTTCTTCTTTACTTTGATATGTACAATATAGCGAATAAAGCTCTAAAACAGGATGCTTTTCAGTAATTCATAATTAAATATGCAAATTCCACAGCTAAATTTGGACATGCAATTATATGACTAATCACATTTCAGAAAGCCAGAAAATTGCAATTGCATGCTTAAATAGATGGCCAGGCCCCAAATCCACATGGGTGCTCTTGTTCTTTCATTTCAGAAAAGACAGTTGCTTTGCTATTAAATGGCACTCACTGAAAATTAAATGTATTTGTACAGACAATTTATGTGCCATCTTAGACATGTATTTTCTCTTTTATTTTAACAGAAATTCAGTTTTGACAATGTGTAGCCCAACAAATGTTAACCTTTCTGTCACTTTATGTGTTGTTGACTCCCGACTAAATGTTTTTTTGCTGTAGACTGGCTGTGGATGGACCATATGGATCTGCAACCACAGACATCTTCCACTACCGAGTCAGTGTGTGCATTGCAGCAGGAATTGGAGTCACACCATTTGCCTCTATTTTAAAATCCATTTGGTACAAATGCTGCAACCCTAACACAGTAGTGGCACTGCAGAAGGTAGGTGGAAAAGTTTATTGCTTCATTAAAAAGTTCCACAAGTGAGCCTACTTATCCAGGAGAGAGAGGCAATTCAAAGTTAGGGGCTCACTTGAGTGCTTTAATTTGCTCTGAGAAGCAGTCTCTCTCTTTCTAGTTGCCTTAGGAACTGTTGTGGGGTGAAGTGTCCTGAACTCACTGTCATTCCCCAAGAAAGAAGGTAGCACAAGCTGCAATGTTTTTAGTAAAAGTTGAAGGATTAGATTTTCAATAGTAACTGGAGATAATTGTGGAATGCCTTCCACAGCTAGATAGATAATTAGGGAGCTACAAGAGAAACATATCCTCTTTCTTATCAAAAATAAATCCTTCAATGTCATCTCAGTCAGAAGTGAAGGGCAGCACTTGCTCACTGTCCAGGTGCAAATTTCACAAGGGTCCTTCATGTCCTGGTCCTGAAGGCTGCATTCAGCAACCGTTTGCTGCTTTTCTCACATTGCAAAGTCGGGATATTAACCAGCACAGAGGGAGTATAAAAGGCATTTAAGCTCCGGATAAGATGCATATATCAAGATGCATATTACTCCCTCAAACTACTTTAATTATTTTGCTGAAAAAATATGTTCAGATCTATAAGGTAAAGATGGCACAAAATTAATTAACATACTCATAATTTTCTAACCTGTTATAGACCTACCTTCTGCTAATGGCATGTGAGGCAGCATTGGGGAGTATAGGTGATGAAGAGATTATAGGTGAAGTGGGGTGAGGGCAAGAAGATAGCATTAAAAAAAATCTATTAAAAATTCTCTTCCATATCCATCACAGCAAGTGGTAGTTTGTGGACCCTACAGCTTTCAGGCCATTTTCCAGTGTAAAAGCTGAATCAGGAACTGTTCAACATTTCATATTTAAGGACAAACATTGAAATTGTATTGGAAGGGACAGACCTTTGAAAGGGTCAATACATATGGAGCTGATTGCAGGACCAAGGGGCTGATCTTTTTAAATGAAAGAGTGTTAAAACTGGCATCTTAATGACGAGCTGCCACTGAAAAAGCATCTGGGATTTTAGTAACTGAGGAGTTGAGGACAGGTCCAAATTGCCAGGGGGGATCTTTGAGGCAGAAAAAGCACTGAGAAGGGAGGGAAATAAAAATGGAAATACATGGTATTTGAAAAAAGAAGTGCATTTGCAAACACTATGATTGTACCAGGATGATCTTTTTCACTGGAAGGAGAGCTACACATATGCATGCAAACTTTATATATGTAGGTTATGTATATTCTACATGTATACAAGTAAAAGTTGTTATTATTGTCATTGCTGCTATCTTAAGGAAGAAAGAACAGGATTTAACTGTGCATCAATGGAATACTTGAAGGTGTTCATTCATAGGGAGAATTAGAGAGAATTTCAGCTAAGTGTGCCTGCAAAGATAAATGCATCATGCAATCTGTTATGGGTTTTGTGCTATAGAGTTCAGTTTTATTGAGTTCCTGTGACGTACAAAATTATCAAGATTTCTACTTGTTTTTTCTTTATATCTTGGCTTCCTTATTGGTGCAGTGGGAATAGTGATGTTTATTTTTCACAGGTGTTTTGAGGTTAAATTTCATCAGTGCTTGTAAAATATTTTTAAAGTGTGGATGAAAGGTCATGGGGAAGTTCACAGCATTACTTAAAAAAATTTAGCAGTCATCTCAGTGAGAGAGATTAATATCAGGGTAGCTCCATTTTTTTTTTTTCCATTGGTTAAAAGCTTCTACTTGTGGTATAATTACAAATAATTTAATCTTCCTCAAAGTATTCAGCACTCCCTTTTTGCCATGATGAGTACCATAGAAATGTCTATTAAGGAAATAAATAAGAGGTTTTTCTTTTTTTTAACAACTTCATTTTGATTTGAGTACAGCTATCATTATGGTTATTGAACTAATATTTCTTAGTGTTGCCCACATATGGTTGAGATATAAATACTCATAGTTTCCAAATGTCTGCAGCTGTATAATTTAAAAAAAAAAAACAACAAATCAAAAGGAGTACACATTTATCTAATTGATTCTTCACAATTAAATAGCCTTAGAGCCCTCATTTCCCCATCATTTTTTGCATGTACTACCAGTCATGGCTGGAAAGTTTCTACTGGCTTTAATTATGCATAATATGATTTTTTTTTTTTTCACATTAGTGGTCTCATTTTTTCAGATCAATTGCTACTGAAATTGATAAAATTGTACTGATCCATCAGATCCTAGTGTTAGCAAACATCCACTTTCTCTTCCCTACAAAAGACATAAGAAAGGTCCTACTGAGTAATGCCAAATATCCATCTAGCCCCATATCCTGTCTGCAACAGTGACTCTTCGTGAACAGCTAGAGAAAAGTATACAGACCAGAAAAATCAGATGGTGGATGGTTTTTACAGGACACTTCCTCACCAGTGAGCAACTCATAGCTCAGTAGCGCCTTGATAAAAGAGCTCTACTTGTGTCTTTAATATCCCTTTGTGGGTTTTTCTTCCATTATGTAGTCTAATTGTTTTTTGAATCCATGTAGACCTTAGACAACCATAGCATGTTGTGGCAGTAAGTTCAGCTACATACTGAGAGAACACAGTCAGCCTCTTCCATTTGCTTTGGGACTGGCTTCCACACCTGAGGTAAATATCTGCCCCAGTCTCTAGTCCTTCTGCACAAAAATCTTGTCCTAAAGACTTAAAAACCTAAGCTCTTTGTTCTGTCAAATGTAACCATCTTTCTGATTTTTTTTGATAACAGTTTAAGTCTTTTGCTTCAAATCTAGGAATATAATTTTGAATCTTGTTATGCATTTATGGGAAAGGCTGTTTGCTGCCACCCTAAGTCAGTGTCTCCTGTAGGCTGCCAAACCCCCACCTCCTGCATGATCTCTGATTTTTTTTTCATTGGGTTTTTGTTTGTTTGTTTGTTTGTTTGTTTGTTTGTTTTTGTATGCTACAGCCAACAGAGCATAAAGGACTGGATGCTTGCTGGGAGGTGCCCAGCTGCAGGTGTAAGAGGTTTTTGTAGGGGTATTCATGCCGAGGAGAGAGCAGCAAGAGTCAGGGATGAGGGTTGTCCTCCTTGGACAGCCCTTTAGTGAAAAGCTGGCTTTTCCCAGAGCTCCAGCTCCAACTCTGCCTTCAGGGAGCAGGGAGAAACAGATGCTCATCAACAGATAATTATTAATGACTTCCTCATGATGGAAACTGATTTACAAAGAATGTTCTTTTACCTTCCAGGAAAGAGGTAACACAGCTCTTGCTCTTGTCCATTGTAAAAAAATATGGGACGTGTGAAACTGAAGGATAAATATCCATTAATTGCAAGGGAGCAGAGCATTACAGAAATAAGCAGCTATTCAAACCCCTGCTTTGATCTGATTAATAGCAATACTGCATCTAACTCAATTTGCAAAAAGAGCACTTGGAAAATTTAAGACAGTTTACTTGGGCAAGCCATCAAGCTGATAAATGCAATTGATGGCAGTAGGGTGGGTGGAGACTAATGAAACATAAATCTAAACCAGATTTTTAATTGCAGTCAGTTAATAGTATGAGGCTTACAAGAAAAAAACAGGATTCAGAATAATCTTTAATGATATAAATACACTGGAGCTACTTTATTTTACTGTTTTAATAAGGATTAATTTTTTGGTGCATTTATTGTATTTTAATTATATATGTAATATGTTGTGCTATGCTATGGGCAGCCAGTGTAAAGAAAGGAAGAATTTTTTGTAAACACCATTTATTTTAACATATTAGACTAGAAGTCCTCTTTGATCTAAGGGAAACTAATTCCTTTTACCCATAGGCCATCCTTCTTCACTATCTCTTTTCTTTCTAAGATTATAATCGCAGCCAAAAATACTCCTAATAATGACAGTCTTTCTTCATCCCCAAACGCCTGCCACCTCTTAACATGAAAATCAGAGGCAGTGCAATGGGTGCCGTGGGATGAGCTTAAGGAATTTTTGCAGCTTCAGAAAGCTGCATCCTTTCCTTAGAGGAGTGTGCCAGAGGTGACTTGTTCCAACCAGTTGGACTGGCTGTTCCTGTGGCAGCCAGGCCTGCAAACAGCTAAAAGCAGTCCTTTAATATGTTCTGGAAATCAGTTCCCCAGTTTGAAGACTGTATTGTCTCAAGTCATTGGCTAGCTTTTCTTCCTCCTTCCCAGAATGTGCTTATCTCCCAGTCCTGCCCACAAGCTCCCAGTTGCTACCTAATGAACAATTCTTTACTCATTTAGAAATCCATATCTCCTCTCCACAACATGTACTAAATATACATTTCCATTAAATGAACTGCTGAAAAGACTTGAGAAATAAGATGATCAAGTAGAGTCTGGGGGAAGAAATTTCTCACTACAAATCAACAGTAATGGTGTGATACAGACTGACAGCACTCAGTGGGCTGATTTTCGAGGTGCTGAGTATATAGAACAAGTGGGGACTTTAGGACTCAGACACAAAAAAACCACATACAGGTTAAGGCTATAAACCTTACTTAGTTTTGGTAATTTAAAATAATGCTGTTGTTGGCCACAAATATGAAATTCTATAACATCAGTGGGCTGGCTTTTTCCTTATAACTTATGCCAGTAAATCGGAAGCAACCCCCTTCATAAAGCAATGAGATCATATTTAAGGCAAAATATTGAAACAGAAGGGGAAAAAGCAAACAAGATGGTTAGTACTGAAGTTCTATTCAGACAGTCTTATTCCTGGGCTGTAAAAATACCCTACTTAACCCTAAATGCCTTATCCCTGTTTCTGGGATCATACATCATTTATATTTCTTACATAAACCACAGATGGTCTCTTACAGTACACTCAGATCTAGGAAACATCTCAAATTACTGTTAGTGTCTTTCACCAAATCTCCACTGAAGCATGGTATTACCACATTTTTCTCCCACCACCTTACCAGAGGTCTGACAACCTAATATATTATATATTTGGGAAATCTCTTTATAGCTTTCAGGTTTCTTTCTCTGGTTTTTCATTTCAGAAGTGTCCAATACACATTTTTACCTCATTGATCCTGTGCAAAAGGGTTAATGATTGCCTTGGGAACATACCTTCCAGATCACCTTTGATATTGCAGTACAATAAAAAACAGAGGGGCTGGTGAGCAGAGAAGGAGATGAGTTGGAGAAACTGAAAGGATTTTGTAACAAAATAAGAATCCCAGTCACAATAAGTACCAATCATTCCGTTTTTATAAACTTATACATAGTCCTTCCTGCTGTTCCATTCACATCTGAAATTTTGTATTTTTAGACTTCCTTCACATTTTTGAATTTCTTCTTTGGAAAAATTATGAAAATACACAGCCTGCAGAGGCCCATTCAAGGTTTGGCACCATCTGGTCAAAATAATGGTAGAGTGTAAGGCAAGAGATACAGAATTTGAGTAATAGGGATTGCAATCAGATTTATCTTATAATTGTGCTTCAGATTCAGGGTAGTGCCTGGGCAGACAGCCTGGGAATTTCAGACGTTCATCCTCTGGGTAGTACAGGAACTCACAGCTGAGTTATCTCCACATCTGTATTGGCTTCATACCAGGCACTGAGCTGAAACCAGTCCAGGGGATGGACTGGTCCCAGTCCTTTACACAGCACAGCATTGCTAGAGGAGATTTCCAACTGGGAAATCAAGATGTGCTGAAGACTCTCTAAGGTAATTCCTGATGGGCCTAGGAGTGACTGAGTTTCAGTGCATTAGTAAGATCTTGACAAGGGAATTTCATCAGTCCTGAGGCAATTCCTGTTGCAAAATTTATTCACTTGTACACAGACAAGACATTTGCAAATGGTCATCAGAAACCATTCCTGCAGAAGTGGTCATACAGGACAGACTTCTAGAAACAGCTAATTAGTCAGAAGATGCTCTATATGCAGTTAAGACAACAGATCACAATAGATCATGCACATCCAGGAGTGGTCACAATGATCCCTGGGCCAGCTGGCTATAAAAACTGGGCAGAAAAAGGTTCTTGTGGACTCCCACTGTTCCAGCTGAAGATACCAGAGGAAGGACTCTTGCAATAGACTCATCATCATATGGACAATGACTAACAGTGTTGTTTCAAAGATTTTATTCCTATGCAAGTATTACCTTATGCCGAGATATTAATAAATTAGCTTCTTAAAAAAAAACCAAAAAACAAAAGCAAACAAAAAACCCCCACACTCAGCTATGTTTTTGTTTTACTACAATAGAGTAGGAAAAATAAGCCTTGGGAATGATTAAAGGATGCCTCTCGGTGGCAGTGATCCCAGGAACATTTGGTTTGCCATAGACACAATTATAGGATGACTTGATCCCATTCTCTAATTTCTACCCATAAAACAAAACTTTGATAAGAGGCTCCCCAACCCAATAGACAACAAACAAAAAAGATGAAAAGTGAAACTAAATAAATCAGGATGAGAGAAATTGTATTAATTTTGATAGAGAGGAGGTTTTCAAAGAATAGAAAACTGATCATTTTACCCCTTTGGCAATTGTAAATTTAGTTTCAGGTTTCTCTAGGAACCAGATGCTCCAAATTAAACATGAAATGCATTTTTAAAAATGAAATAGGGACTATTTCTCACCTATTTTATACAGGGCATATGACTTGAAGAACATAAGTACCTTTTGGCAAAATCAAGAGTTAGCCTATAGCATAAGGTCTAGAGAAACAAGGAATTCCTTGCTTTGATGCTGAATACAACTGAAATTAAATAAATACAAAATTCCAAATAATAATCAAATTATTTGCAAGAAATGAAGGGCTAGGTATTACAAGTCAAAGCAGAGATGTACTGGTAAGGATATATGGGAAGCTTGTCCACTGCCTACTTTCACTAGCACATTAATATATTCACTCATTGTTTAAGATGACAATCAAAATTTTAAAATGTCAAAATTATGTTTAATTATGTCTACTATAAATTTAATGTGAAGAAGAATCACACACTATATGGTTAATGAGTTGAGCCAGTGATTACAAAGTTTTATGGAAAGTTTGCTTCTTATTAAATCTCTTTATTTTACCTGACAGGTTTATTTTTACTGGATTTGTCGAGACCCATCAGCATTTGAGTGGTTTGCTGATCTTCTGTTCCATTTGGAAACAAAAATGGGTGAAAAATGGAAAAATGATTTTCTAAGCTATCATATATTTCTTACTGGCTGGGATGAAAGTCAGGTAATAATGAAACTGTTACAAGTCAGAGTTAATGTACCTTCCTTTTCTAGTATGGGAACATACGGAACAGGAACAGCTGAATAAATGATGGATGAAGCAGAGAGACAAAGATAAAGATCCTAAGATGTCTGTTTACATCTCACATTTAGGAAAGCAGGAATGGAGAAATCTAGCCCGTGATTCCTCCAATCCTACATCTTGTCTTGGGCAAAGATGGTTACTGGGTGTCTCACAGAAAAGTACAGAGAGCTTTCAGGAGCTCATCAAGGGATATTTTATCTATGTCTTAGGAAGTCTTTCATTAGATTCTACCATTTTTGTGCTGAAATGTGGAGGACTGTCTAAACAATGTAGGTTTCATTTACTCTTATTATTTAATACAACTTCTGTTGTAGTAATTCATGCATATATACATAAATACACACACACACACACACACACACACACACACACACACATATATATATATCCAGTGCATTTTTGAAAAGTACTCCACTTGGAAAATTTTGGCAACGAACTCCATGGTCTAATTCATGTTGTTTGAAAAGACATTTTCTCTGATTAACTTTAAATTTGCCATCTCATAATTTCATTGGATCATACCACCTCAGGCACTTAATTCTTAGACTGGGTCAATATTATTCAACCTCTTTAGTCTTTACCTAGACACAAATGTGTTAATTTTTTCTCTCTCTCTCTCTCTCTCTCTCTCTCTCTCTCTCTCTTTCTTTCTTCCCTTTTTAATGGATCACTCAGATGATGCAGTGGTAAGTCAGGTAAAAACTCTAAAAGGGAAGTCTTTGCTCTACTGTTTTATTTCCTGCTGTCTCTATTGAATGAAGGACTGCCTAGTAGAGATGAAAAAAATACAGATTTCATAGAGCTTTTCCTTTTCTGCCTCTGCTGATATAAAATCCCCATTGTTTCTTTCTGCTTTCCTTAGAGTTTCTGTCAAGTAATGAGGTATGTGCATAAAGTTGTACTCAGAAAAATCTACTCCCATTGTGAAGTAGATGCCAGCTATAGAAACTACTGCTCTGCATTAGCAATATCACAGGGTATTACCTAAATCCTGCTGTTAAAGAAGCTATTGGGGAACCAAAAACACACAAAGTTGCCCTTATCTTTCAACTATCACCTCACTTCCCTCATGGGCAAACATCAGGCCAAAAGTCAGGTAGGGTGACCATTCTTCTTGCTGGGGTGTCTGTCTCTCTTCACTTGTGTGCCCTGCACTTTTCTGGAGGGACTTCTTCCTCCCTTTAACCTCATACTCTCTCCTGATTCCTGTCAGAGGAATGTTCTTCAGTGGATATTTCTCCCATTCTGATCTGGACATTATGCTGAGTAAAATCATCTTCTTCAGATACATGCAAAGCTCCCTAGTCTTACAGGACTTATTTTTAGTAAATTCCTGTTCATCGCTCCTCGAATTTGCTAAAATCCTCATCACCCCCTCATCACTCTGCACCAATATTTGAGTGATATTTTACTTCTCCCCTAGCAAAAAATAAAGCAACATTCTCAGCATTCTCTCCATCTCACTATATAGATGACCAGCAGTCAAGTGAAGTTGAACTCAAGGAGGATGGGCATTTTAAACCTTCCAGCACACCCTCCTTTCCTGACACGTGTCTACTCCTCAGACATGTTTGTTCAATGCTTTGATCTCTTTGCAGGTTCCATGCTGGGAACAGATGGTTAAGCACATAACACACATGATCTGCCCCTGCTTGGACAAACTCTCTGCAGTACCCCTGAGGAGACTCCTAGGCACCCTTAGCACTGTGAACAGGTGCAAAGGCTAATATCAAAAATCCTGGGAAACTTTCACTTAATGAGAACAGCCCATCAGTGGGACAACTGTGCTGCAAACAATTCAAAAATTCTGTGGTTTTCTACCTCCCACTCCTACTAAACACTTTAAGTTCTTTCTTAGACTATTCCAAATCTTTCATGACAATGGCTCAAACTAACAAGAAGCTTTTAGAAACACGACCTCTTGTAACAACTTTGCTTAACAAGAATAATTGTTTTGGTAAGGAATATGTAAGACTCATTAGAAGAAGAAATATACAGTATTCCTAGGAAATGGATCTAAATTTTAGCAACCAGTTCTGCAAAAGATGATTATGATACTTAGTTCATGCTAGGGCCTGGACTAAATGCAAAGTCCATTTTTAAATTTACTTTCCTCTGTTAATTTCTTGATACTGACAGGAATGATGGTAGTCTTAGTGGAAATATTACTCCTACACAAGAGTAGTACATATGGCTGTTGTTCCTCATCCTGCCACTGGACACCACTAAAAATAGTCTGGCACCATCCTCCTGACAGCTGCCTTTGAGATATTTACATGCATTAATGAGATCCCCCTCAGTCTTCTCAAGACTAAACAGGCC